TCATGCATTCAGCAGCACTGCAAGGCCTGGCACACTATGGTTTCTAGACATGATTTTGGCCGTGTTTAAGATGGAATGAGCAGTGGCTGGCCTAGCCTCAGGGCTTTTGGAAGCAGGAACAAAGGGGCGTGTATGAGTGTGACATTGTGAATGCTCTCTAAACACACAATGTCTTTTGTTCTGTTTCTCTTTCTACTTTGTTCTCTCATCCACCTTTGTGTTTTCCTCTTGACACATTTACTCTATCCATTATACTTAAACCTGTCTCATTTCTCCTCTCTCTCCACTTGTTCTCCTTCTTTTTCCTATGTCTTTTGGTTCAGGGGGACTGCCGAACAAGGGAGGAATCGTTGATCTTGGGGGTGGAGCTCTGCGACAATGGCTTCATGCATCATGGTACAGCACTTTTCACTGCTGAGAATTTCAACAGACAAAAAAAAAATTCTGATCCTGCTATTCACAAACTGTGGAATGCTCTCCATCATTGACTAAATGAGAGTTGAATGCTTTGTGGAAGCCATGCAGAGGGTGCCTGGCATTTGGCATCCTGCACGAGGAAACAACCTCTCTTGTTCTCTTTCTATTTAAAATCCCTTGGCATGCATAGGAATAGAACCTTTTCTCAATCCAGTGAATGAATTGTGTGTGCATGTGTGGTTAGGGCTATGGCTGTGTTGATGCATACATCATTAACTTCATGCAGACTTGTGGATGTATGACTTAATTGACCAAATGCAGGGTACACGCATGGTTTGCTTTAACTGAGATGCCGTGGATGCTTGTCAGTGACGTTTGAAATGGTTAGTAGTCATGGTTACAGTTTGTTTATGAGAGTTAGGTGTGTTTTTAACTCTGTACTTTGCTTGTGCCAAACCCCACATCATACACTCTAAAATATGAGTCATGGAGAGTCATACCCCCATGTAACTGCTCCAATCTACCTGCAGTTCAAGCCTTACAAACCTTTCACTTCCAAATCCTAATTTTCCCATTTGTGCCAAGAATTTACTGTAGCCTGATGTTGTAGCTATTAAAACTACTGGCTCTATAGCTCGTCTCAAGTGTAATGTAGTGAGGGGTTGTCAGAAGAAAACTATTTTTCAATTCTAATTTGGGGTCTTGGTGAAAGCATTATGTTGCCGTGGGTTCCTGTACTGTAACCATGTCAAACATCCAGTGGCATATCTTGCCATGATAGTGGGTTCTTTCTCATGGTGTGTTGTTGTGCATTTAGAGAGTACATTGTGTGCATGTTTAAGTGCTTGGGCATGCTCAGTTTGGCATGTGACATAGTTACTTAGAATGACTTAATGCTTAGTGAAGTTTAAACCTCTTCATTTAATGCAAACAGCTTGATTTCTAGATTTAACATATTTTGCTGCTTCTTTGCACATATTCTTCCTTTAGCCAAAAAAGGAAAGACTGTTTACAGTTAGTCAATGTATCAGTTAACAATCATCAGGCAGCCCAGGTCTTGAAGTAGAACATGCTTACAGTTGTCTCCAAGGACCATTTTAATAATTTGGATATTTTGGTCCATTTAATGCAAGTCACCAACTATACTATATGTTGTGACCCTATTTGCAAACCATATATCAGTTGTGTAGATATCTGAATGGATTATCTGCCTTGTCAAACATCCATAGGCTTCCATTCATTTCTGCACAATTTGTCGAGTCTACAAGTTAAACATACATTATAGTTTTGATGTAATGCTATACATGCAGCACATTTAAATCTGCCCAAGAGTGTTTTCATTGGAATTTATATTGTCCTGTACACAGTAAAAGAAAAAACCTGCAAACATTTGAAAATGTTCATCAAAAATACAACTTGTGTGTGTGTATATATACAGTATATACTCTATAGTTAAAAACAGTCTGCAAGTTTCTATTCACCTGTCTGCTTATTTGCATTCATTACTGTGTTACCTCCTTCAGTGTTGGAGAAAAGTGAATTCAAAGATGAGCCCTTACTGTTTCGCTTCTTTGCTGATGAGGAGATGGAGGGCTCCAATACCAAACACAAACCCATGAAGCATGACCTGAAAATAGTTGAAAACATCATCTCCAAGTCTCTCTTGGTGAGCTCACTTGCTGTACTGCTTAGTGGCTTATTGATTAGTTCTGTTTGTCTAATATGCAGTTACTCAGCAATCCAAAGGCACAGTAAGTCTTTATGAAGGAAAAGTCACAACACCTCAGAAGTAAATTTTCTGCTGTTAATCAGTAAGCATTATTTTCAGAGGAGTGAGCAAATACTACCATAGATGCCATCTGACTGTATCAGTGTTTCTTTCTGGAGTGTATGCTTGTGCTCTGGGAGAATGTCTTGGGCTGCTGGTTTGAGGTTTTGCTGATGGGAGACATGTTGTTTGCCAGATAAGGCCCAGTGATGGAGGTTACGGCTTTATCCTGGAAGAGAGGAACAAGGTTCCCATCATCAAATCTGTGGAGAAGGGTTCCCCAGCTGAGGTGAGAAGGCACATCTTAAAAACATAATTTTTTAAGATGTGATCCAGTCAGCAAATTGCTTCTGTTGTTAAAATTTGGGGTGAGCATCAGTCATAAAAATAGGAGCATTTAGCTGCTTGCTCCTAAACTAAACCTTCTTTATGGTGATGGACGCTAATGGTAACGTTAGAAGCCTAGTCATGCATTAATAGCGCACATTAAGGTGCCATATTTTTGACGTCTCTTTTGAGGTTTAGCTTTGATCTGTGAGATGAAAATGAGACAGGAGGAGTTTAAAGGCAAATGTGATCACTGTGAGCACATGACCCATAATTTTCTCCAGCCCAGTGTGTCAAGAAGGTCTGGATTGCTTGGAGAGAGGCAGTATTTGCTTTGAAATATTCAGTCTGGTAAAACACAACAGGATCCAGCTGTATACTCAGAGATAAAAGTATTGTCTCCTATGACTGGGTGTGTATGCTTTGTGTGTGTGATATATAGAAATCCTTTGGGAACATTGTGTTTTTTGCAAAGATATACATTTTTATAGTGAATCTGTTTGCTGTTAAAACCCAGTTTTTTTTCTTCTATTATATTCAATGTTAAGATGGCTGGTCTAGAGGTGGGGAAGAAGCTGTTTGCTATAAATGGAGACCTGGTGTTCCTCAGGCCTTTCTCTGAAGTGGAAGTTCTCCTCAAGCAGTCTTTCAACAGTAAGGGACCCCTTAGGGTGCTGGTCAGCACCAAGCCAAGAGAGTAAGTCAGAGTATGCACAGGTACTGTCAAAATCAGTTAATTGTCTGCATCTCTCAGCTCTGTTTTTTTTTTTCCTCCTCTTGTTTCCAGGACGGTGAAGATCCCAGACTCAGCTGATGGGTTAGGTTTCCAGATCCGAGGCTTTGGTCCATCTGTTGTCCATGCTGTTGGAAGAGGTAAGAGATCACCGCCTTCACTACTTGAGCTGTCTGTCTTTATCAGCAAAAGGCTTCCCATGATTTCTCTGTTACTGTGGCACAGCTGGCAAGCAGCTGCCACACCAGTCTTTGCAGGGCATGTGTGCATGACTTGGCCACAAGAGGCCCATTTCCGCCCCCCTTATGCTCTTTATATGGCTCACCAGTGCTGTCAGAACTGAGAATTGTCTGCTTATCAATCACTTTGCATATCACAGTGATTTCCATGTATTCACATTTTTCTCCATGGTTCACTTACTCTGTGCATTTTTTGAGGTCCAAATTCATCATTGTCCCTCCTTTGCTGCTCTTACCTAACACAGCAAGCTTAGTAGCACTGGTATCAGGGCTGGCACAAAATAGGCTCCAATCAAACAACAATCCATGGCCTAGTCTGTCAGTTCTCAGGGGAACTGAACCTTTTTTATGTTTAAGCAATCTAAGCAGGATAGTAAGGTAGAAATGTGTTGGGTATGTGCCTTTGCTTGCGTGTGTGTGTGTGTGTGTGTGTGCTCCTGGTATTACTCACATTGTGGTGATCGAATCCTATTTAAACACACACACATTAATGCTAACAGATTTTTATAATGCTAATGCGACATCAACATGGTAAACAATATAAATATACCTGCTAAACATCCGCCTGTTAATATTGTTATTGCTGAGCATGCGAGCATGATAACATTACTGAGAGCTTGGATGTAGACTCAGTCTTGTTCACTGTTTAACAGTAATAACTACTATTACTACTGTAACTGTTTATTTATTTATTTATTGAATTTATGAGAAAAACCATGCTGCCTCTGTTGTAACTATGAAACACCTCGCACCTTTTCTTTTCCAATGAGGATCTTTCCTGACACCTGATGTGTATAAATCTACTAACTATAGTTTCATCTTGATTCAGATTTCACTTGCGTGACGATGTGTAGTAGATACTTGCCCTTGATGTTTCTCCTTTCACTTTGTCTCTGTGTCATGCCAGGCACGGTGGCAGCCATTGCTGGCCTCCATCCAGGGCAGTGCATCATCAAAGTTAATGGGAACAATGTAAGCAAGGAGAGCCATGCCAGTGTCATTGCTCATGTCACTGCCTGCAGGAAGTATCGACGACCTACACAGGTGAGACAGGAAGAGAAACAAAGAAAATAAATTGCAGGCCAAACCCAACTACACATTGTAGAGTTCTGTTTGACCCTGAGGGAGGGTTATGTTAGCTGACATATAGATTTTCACTGCAAAAGATTATAGCACTGTATGACATTTTGTGCAGTGGTATGAAGCTGAATAAATATATATATATATATATATAGTCTTTTAAGAAAAAGCATACATTTTCCATGTACATTAGATTTTTGTGTCATGGTTTGGAGCCTTTTAATAACTGCTTGCTGGAGGTCACATTTTTATTTCCTATGACCTCACTTGTAGTAACTGATCTGGGAGTTACATAATGAAATCAGAAGTAGGAGAAATATGGGAGAGCATAAAAGAATGAAAAGACCAGAAAAGTGGGGGGGAAACAAAGACGGAGAATAAACACAGCAGTCAGACCTCCTAGCTCTCGTTTACCTTCATACCTTTTTCTTTCTGTGCCTGTGTCTGACTCTGTCTTGCCTTCCCTTGGGTCATTACGCTGAAATAATAGTAGTTTTGGCTCCACTAGCGCCGATCCCTGGCTCAAAGCAGAGAGCCTGCTGTGGGAGACTGGCTGGCTGCAGATAGAGGTGGGAAAGGATCTGGGGGTGGCTGGGGGCTCAGTGTCGGTGAGAGGAATATGGACGAAAAGGGGGATAGGCTAGTTATGTTTCTTTCCTGGAATAGTGGTTGACAGCAGATGTGTAGGAGGTGAAAGCAAGCTTAGGCCACCTGTTGAAAGTTGTGTGAAATGCACGGGTGTGTGTATGACAGTAGTTAGTGTAGTGTGGAGCCATAATTGGCTTAATGAAGCATTACAGGTTTCCAAAACTACTGGATGTCTGGTTTATATCACATATATACACACAGAGGAGCCACTCTCTTGCCCTCTTTCTATGCTTGTGTGTGTGTGTTGTATACTAGAGAGGACCACAGACCGGCAGGCAGGTACAGCGTGTAGCTTTGGCAGAAAACCCGCTGTGGGCTTAGGTGTGGAGAGGAAAGAACATACACAGACAGATACACAAAAACACACCCACACATACTGTACACAGGGTTGTGTGGTGCACTGGAGTGGGTTTATGAGGTTGCCATGGGTTTGTTTTTGTCTCACCAAGCACCATGTTGCCATATGTCTATGAAGGCTTTTCATTGTATGCTCTGCCAACCCAAATGTAACACTGTACCCCATATCTGGGTAGAATCAGCTAAACACACTGCATCAAGCCTAAACCTCAGCTTGTGCACACACAGACTCACTGAAGTTCGTAATTTTCATGATGTAGATTTTTCATAAATCGTAAGTGATTTTTTTTTTCTGTATTCCTATGCAGCAAGATACAATTAAATGGGTGTATAACAATAGTGAGAGCGCCCAGGAGGACAACCAGAAAACTAACCAGAAACCAAACCCTGGGGAGAATGGAGATGGATTTGAGTGCAAAGTAGAAGGTAATCAAATGCACGCACACACATGGACACAAACTCTTCTGGGAAAAGAAATTCTGGTCTAGGTGTCTGTGGATGTAACACAGGCTTGTTTGTGGGAACACAGGCCCTTTGCCTGCTCCAGTTAAGAAGTCAGACATGGGTCCAAACACGCTAGTCTGGAGAGAGTTAACCTGAAAACATAATCTCCTCTGGCTCACTGAGTGTTCATTCCCCTGCGATTTATGGATCTCAATGAGACAGTAAGCCAAGAAATCCATTCTCTTCATAGTAAACATCTCTGAAGCAGGATTTATTGCCCTATTAAGTCATCGCCTTGGCATAAGGCTGGTTAATTAAATATTCTTTGAATTGCTCCTCATTTTTGGGGAGATGGAGAAAAGCCATGAGCAGAGTCTTCCTCTGAACTGACCTGCAGATGTGGTGGTCTGGGGCCTCCTACGGTGCCTAGTGTGTGATGACGAAAATACCTGCAGTTTTGCAACCATACATTCTGTGACAAAGATGGGGATTTATTGTGTTTATAACTAAATATGATTTGTACATGTGTGTTGTTTGTGTGCAAGTTAACAGATCTGTTTCACCACAGTTTTTTGTGCTATCTCAGAGGTGATGGACAAGTTTAACACTATAGCTATCATCGATGGAAAGAAGGACCATGTAAGTCTGACGGTAGATAATGTCCATTTGGAGTATGGAGTGGTGTACGAGTATGACAGCACAGCTGGTATCAAGTGCCATGTGCTGGAGAAGATGGTTGAACCCAAAGGATTCTTCAGTCTCACTGCTAAGGTATTCTGTCCAAGGTTTTAGTGGGACGAGTAAAGGGCTGAATGACATGATATAATATCTACATAATGATACACTATATTGTCACATTGATCTCCATAATAACTTTAAGTATCATCAGTACAATACCACCCTTTTCCCAGACTGGATTAACTTTTATGTTTATCAGAATTATAGTCAAATTATAATTAAGTTATAGTCAAATTATAATGTAGTTTAAAAAGCATTCTGAATTCTTGGGACTAGGTTACCAACAGGTAACCCAGTATTGTATTTGTGTTTAATCACATGGAATGTGTGACAATCACTTGTATTACAGCAGAAGAGTACAGAATGGTTTTTGGGGCTCTGGGCAAAATACTATTAAGCTAGCATGCCTGCACAGTTCACATTAAGTGGGAGGAAAAAGGAGGGCCCACAGATAATTTTTGCCTTAAGGTTGTTAGTTAATCTAGCTCTGTCCAACCCTAGTAGAACGGCCTGTTTAACTAGCTGTTTTGAAGGGAACTGTTGACTTTTTTTCAAATGTGGTAAAAAGAGAGAGAGAAAAAGAGAAGTAGAGAAATTTAGGGAAGGTTTTATCACCTTTTAGGTGATGAATAGTGGTGCTGAGGCTGCACCTTGCTTGATGAACGAGAGCTATAAAGACATAAACAAATCATGACCGTGCTTCAGTCTCTAACCAGGCTGCAGGGGAGAAGTAGATGAATTCAAAGGGGGTTAGGATTATCACTTTATATATGTTTTGCAGTTTGAATGGAAGTGAAACCTTGTAATCAATTTGATTGAGAACTTTGTCATGCTATTTTTTCTCAAATTTGGAATGCAGTTCTTCAGCACAGACAGAACCTATAGCTCTCCTGCTGTGTAGATTGAGTTCTAATTCAGACTACTAGCTTTATTTTATTTATGTGCATTCCCAGCTGTGTTAAGTGCATGCATTTTACATCACAGCAGTGTTTACAGAGTGTTCAGAATGGATTTACAGTATGAAACACAGTGGAGAGAAGACTCACTTCAACATACATGCACACATGGCTGTGTGGTAAACAAAGCAGTTTGCAGCATCGTTTTGACAAATTCCATGATGAACAGCATCTCTTTACATTATTGTAAATTAGCAGAGATCATAAATTGGGTTCATGTCTTTAAACTGATTTAGATTTGGGGTCCTTGTCTCCTATAATTTTAAAGCATCATCCTAAATGAAACCCAGTCACTTGTACAGAAATAAAACTCTTATTTTCTCTCAGTAATTTCCCATTCCTCCAAAGTGAAAGTAATTTTTGTCATATTATAAGCATCTGCTCCACCAGTTCACATCGTCTATAATAGTCTTGTGATGTTGAATTTTAATATTGCTCATGCTATAAGGGCACCTCTGTTTTCTCGACCTTCAGTCTCTTTGCTGTTACATTCCCTCCCCAGCTTTTCTCTCTCCTCCACTGGACACCTCATTAAAATGGTTCAGAGATTTGTCTCTCTCTAACTTCCCATATAGAATCTCTGGTCTGGAAAGTCAGAGGCCACATACAGTACATATAGTATATGAGTTACAGTCTTTATCACCATAGATTTCTGAAGATGGTGGTGCAGTGGTTAGGACTGCTGCCTCCCAGCATGAAGTTTCTGGGTTCCAACCTTGTGGCCGACCAGTGATTGAATAAAAATTTGTGGTAGTCATGTTCAACAGCCTATGAAATGCTGCAGAGAAAATAAAAAGTCATTTGTTTATATCCCATTAGTTGCTTTAAAAAGGCATTTGTGTTTTAATTAGTCATCCCTGCCTTTGGTTGCCATTTCTCTGACCAGATCCTGGAGGCGCTGGCGTATAATGATGACACACTGGTGCAGATGTGTTGCAAGTTGAGTTCCAGCTGTGATGTGATCCCTGAGGAGCTGCAGCTACGCTTCAGTGCCATGTATGGTGAGAGGGCAGAACACATCAACCGGCGCATCACTAACTACAGGAAGGTACAGTAACTATCCTGAGCTGCTCTGATTACGAACGGAGATGCTGTCCCTTTATTCTGTTCTCGATTGTATATCATTACACAACTTGGAACCATGAAAATCACCTCTGTCTTCTGCAGTTTTCTGTAGACTAATGATAATAGAAAGAGGTTGCAGCTGGTGTAGAATTACCTCTTTGTTGTTGCACTGAGGGGAAAGGCCTTGTACATTAAGCATTCACTTTTTATCCATAATTTAATTGAAGTAAGATTGTAAAATGGAGTCTCTCAATTGGTTTTCTGATGAAGGGTTAAAATAATGCCTAGCACCAAGGGCTCCATGTTGCAAGCTAGTAACGTCATACCAGCACACCATGCGTTAATCTGCTGACACACTGCAAACAAGCTGAACCTCAAGTACAAAATATCTGAAAGCTGATGTGCAAAATACAATCATTTCTCATTAACCTGCAAGAAAAGAGGAAAATATTTAGCCAAGAGTTCTCATTGTGACTTCTTTCATTGATTTTGTGAATATGTCTGCAGAATGTATTGTAGTATTATCTGGCACTTTGTAATTAGGTTACAGCTCATTGATGGAGCCAAAGTATTTTCATCAGTGTTGATTCAGATTTGTAAGCATGTGTCTATAGACGAGTGTGCGTGAGATAGAGAGGAAAAAAATCTCTTTCTATATTAGAATAGGCCTTGGATTAATTACCAGTCACTTATAAATAGCCTGGCAAAGCCACAGGCAGGACTATTGTTGTGTAAGATCCTCTCCTGCACTGGAGCATTACTTCTCAGACCCTAGATAGAAAGGAGTGGGAGTGAAAGAGGAAGAATCAGAGAAAAATGAAGATAGAGGAGGAACTAAAGAAGAAAGAATGAGTAGGACAAGCTGAGATTTATATTTGTAATTAGAATCCACAAACCTCTAGGGCAGGGGTGGCCAATCCCAGCCCTCGAGGGCTGCTGCCATGCTTGTTTTCTAAGTATCTAACCCACTGCTGAATACCTGGACCAGGTATGTTCAGTCAATCAGGAAGATACCATCTTAGATGAAGGTGAAGTGAGGAAAGACAAAGTGAGCTGGTATCTTCCAGCTTTTGATTGACTGAACATACCTGATCCAGGTATTCAGCAGTGTGTTGGGATAGTTGGGGGCCACTGTGGTTCAGTGGGCAGAGCAGTCGTCTCCCAACCCAACTTGCAGTGTACAAGTTGAAGTGTCCTTGGGCAAGACACTGAACCCCCCCATTGCCCCTGATGGTTAGAGCCATCAGTTGAGTTGGCACCACAGATGGCTGCCTCGGTTCTGTACCTGAAGCAAATTTCTTGTGTATGACATACTTGGCCAAATAAAGGTGATTATTATTATTAGTTAGGCAGGGATATTTGGAAAGCAAGCAAGGCAGTGTCCCTCTAGGACTGGGACTGGCCATCACTGCTTTAGGGGCAGACAGATGTGCTGAGATGTCTTTCACAGATTGTAGTTCATGAACTACTCCAGCTATTTGAGACAACCAAGAAGACGAGTGGTTTGTCCCTTAGTTATAACATTTGTATAACATCCAAGACAGGATACAGGCTTCAGTGATGGACGGTTCAAGGAATGTGCAACCAAATGTTACAAATGAGAAATGTGTTTGTGATTTTCTGTATCAGCTCTGTTGGATCCAAGCCATCCTTCAGCTTTCCTGTGTATCATGTTTTACATGGAGATGATATCCTCCAGTACATTAAAAAGTTTGTGTAATTAAATTCATATCAATCCATGAATCATTATGTTGAGGTCTGGACTTCTCCATGTATGTGAGCAGTGATATTTGATACAGGTTAAATATCTGAGCATTACTAAAAGGGGGAATGTATAAAATATACAGTCATGGATGTTTCTGGTTTTCTTCCAGTACCAGCTATCATACATGTAAACAGAACAGATGTATCAGCATCAAACTATAATTACAATAAAAGTACTCATTGTGCAGAATAGTGCATTTTACATGAATGTACATCATATTATTGGATTCTAATCATTGATGCATTATTGTGTACATCACATTTAATGATGCAGCTGGTAAAGGAGCTTATTTAAGTAGCTTACATATATTATAGCACTCTTGTACTACGGCAGATTTGTATAGTGAATATATTTTCAACTTGTTTTCCACGGTTGATTTATACCATCTATTGTATGCTTTTCTCTCAGTCACTGATTAAGGATAGAAGTAAATATTCCTAGATCACTTTGAGCCTTCCAGACACAAAGTCAAAGTATGAAATAGCAGAAAATTAAACCACTCAAATTATACATACCTCAAAACTGTGCTTAAGTATAGCACTTGAGTAGATGTTCTTATAAGTTCCACTACTGTAAACCAGTAGGCTGAGCTGACAGTTCTCTGTTTTGTATTTCTCATGGAGTCTTTTATGTATTTGAAATACACATTAGCTAAGATTAATACTTTTTTTTCAAATCTCTCCAAAAATTTTTACTTTAATTCAAATTCCCCATTTGTGATTACTATTGTTTTATATAAAGCATCATAGGGTGCAGTCAGTGAGATTATAGTCCAAGATCTCTATGTCTCACAAATTAAAACATTTCAATATATTTTACCACTAAACCATCAACATCTCTCTGTGTCAGTTTGCTAGGGTATTGAAGAACAGAGCATGGCCCACATTTAAGCAGGCCAAGGCTAAGGTGTCTCCCCTGCATAGCAGTGACTTCTGCCCCACAAACTGTCATATCAACGTGATGGAGGTCTCCTACCCCAAGACCACCACGTTTTTGGGTAGCGCCTTTGGTGTGCAGCTGGACAATAGGAAGAACACGCTGGAGAAGGGAGGATGCAGCAGTGCTCATCTTGGTGAGTAGAGGATAGGGGCATGAAAAACTCCTGCACAGTGAAATAAATTTATCTGTCTACTTTTTAGTGGTGTTTTGTTTAACTTGGTGTGTTTGTTGTTCAGGTAAGCTAAACCCCATGGTTAATGTCCAGCACACCATCACCACTATGGCTGCACCATCAGGTCATAGCCTGGGCAGGACTGAGGGGCACGGCCTTCGTTTTCTGCTTAAAGAAGACGACCTGCTCACCCTGGATGCTTACCAGAAACTCCTCTACAAACTCACCACTGTGGTCAAAGAGATGGAGATACATGGTGCACATATTCAGGAGTGAGTGACTTTAAGTACATACATACAGTATAAAGATCTGTACCAGTATGATCAAACACTCCTTACACAAATCATTCCCACGTGAGACGTAGTATTGTTTTATTAAATTGCCTGAGTTTGAGATTAATCTGTGCTTACATTTTCTCCACAAATCGCAAAACAAAGGGTAACATGTTTTTTGAATCTCTTCACATCACTTTATGATCTGCTGATTCTATTTGACTAGATTTAAAATACCCTGTGAAACCACTACGTGGTCAGTGTGCTACATTAGACACTTGGTGAGCATACATTTTAGTCATTACTTCAGCACCTGGGTCTGTTCAACATGTTTCACAAGTTTATTGTCTGGAGGCAAACAAAGCTACAGAAAGGAAGTAAGAAATGCTATCCCATTCCTGCCTACAGTACACCATCCCTAAACAGGAAATGTAATCTCAGTGAAGCAGAGCGTCTGTCACTAGGCCAGGTGTGATTTGGAAATGCCATTCTGTATTAATGGACCACTAATACATACTGTATATGCATTTGCAGTAGACAGAAACATGTCGGCACACATGCAAAACTCTAAGATGATTACAGTATGCGTTTCTAAATGGCCTCTATTTTTTTCCTGCAGCTGTTGGTAACTACTGGTGGACAGTTGACTGTACAATAAGTGTGCTATGCTATGGCTGCACCGTTAGAAGATTCACATTAAAAGCCTTTAGGTGGAACAGAAAGCAGAGCTGTCACCTAACTGTAGTAATAATGAGTTTAGTCCACAGCGGGCCTCTTAATGACTGAGCCTGGACAAATTTTATCACGACATGGTCCGAGACATGTCTAGTGAGGGGATAATCACCTTTACCACCTACTGTGTGTTCAAACATGCAGAAGTGCACATGCACGCACGCACACACCAGCAGCTTGTAAAGGATGAGCTGTGGGTAGGCACTGGTGTTTAACAGCAGTGGAACTAACATTGGTTGTGTTGCAGTCTGGATGCATTTCTCTGCCATGTATGGGTGTGTTGAATCCTTCTGAGCTCTTCATTAGATTAATTTTAAGATTAATTGATTGGCCCAGGGTCACTAATACTTCTATTGGTCACACACCCCAACTTCCGATCTCCATTCTCTTTTTGTTTCTTTGCATTTCCTCTATATTTTGCTTTTTGCAAACATTGATAAAGGCATTCTTCACTGCCTGTGTCACTTTCTTTTTCTGCACCGGGTCTGCCTGACTTTGACAGCTCTATGGTACTTTATAATGGTCTAGTAATAAACTGAAGTGGTTATATTTGAGTGCTCTTTTGTGTTGTCAAAGACAACCTCCCCGGTTCCAACCCAAAGTCAAGAGAGGAAGTCCACAGTACATTCAGAGTAGATTAGAATTATCCTCAAATAATTTAGGAAAAAAAAACAATATGTCGACATTACAGAATTTTTTGGCTGATTTTAGAGGAATCAGTTTTGAGGCTGTGTCTTGTGAACCTTTGTCTCTGAGCCACAGCCAAGGGATCACAGCTATGTGAGGACATGTCCACTAGTAGTATATAAAGCTGGGCAAAGCCAGTCAACCAGCTGAGCTTGGTCTTTGAAGCCCAGATGTACAGTATTGGCCTGACAAACTCTACCACCACAAATAAATCTACATGTTCTTATTTACATGCTCCTGGTTATTTAACTCAAAGTAATACGCAAATGTACGACCATGAAACTGTCTGATATTGAGTATTGTAATTCAGATGCGCTTATAGATGCAATGGAGGCGACTGACGTCTAATAGTTTCATGTGTCGAAGTGGTTTAAAGAGCTCCCTGTGAGAAATCCAGAGATCTTTCCGATTACTTGCAATAAGCAGTCATGTTCTTTGGCCTACTCCCATTCTCTCTTCTTTCTTTCTCACTCAGTTGAAGATCCCTCTCTGATCCACTATTTGTTATTCTTTCTGGCTCCTTTGATAGTTTGCTCCCCAAAGGCCTCAAACTGTGCTCACTTCTTTATTAACCAACAGCCAATCACAGGGCTTGTAGAGCTTCTCCATGGTGATGGAATCTCATTCTGCTTTGGAGGGGAGCCCAGGAGTGGATCATAATGAGGACATCTCTGTGGCCTGGTCAGCCTGTGAGTGTGTAGAAAATGGGCCAGTGGAGAGAGAGGACAGGGGGGAATGAAGAGGTGTTTGAAACATAAGGAGGTATAAAAATTTGGGTAGCTTGTGACATTTCTTATTCCACATAGCTGTACTGACTCCACTTTGAAACATCCTTAAGGCTGATGTTGTTATGACAGAATGGAAAATGTAGGCAAACAAATTAAAATAAGGCTGAACTGTAAACAGACATTACATGTCAATGTGTGTGCGTGGGGAGAGATAAAAAAAGTCCAAGCCTAGCATTTTTTTGGATTAGGGCTTTAAAATGCCACCACGTGTTGCTGCAACTGTGAAAATATCCTGGCCGTCCTCTTCCTGCTCTTGTGATTGCCGTCTGATTGAATACAGGCCAGTGGGAACAGTCAGAGGGGAGCTGCTAAGTTGCAGCATGTTGACACAGCTGCGCTTTTCCACATGTTTGGAACTATTAATATAGTATGGATTCTTGACCATCTGAAGCTGCTGGTACGGAAGCAGGCTGTGGTTTTGTTTAGCTTACTCAGTCAGGCTATAACTGAGCCCACGCACATGTAGTCACATACTGTATATATTGTGTGTACCGTTCAAAATGTTACATTGCTGGGGTACATGTAAGAGCTTCCTGTGTAGCATTAGTGTGATAGAAAAAGCTGTTTTTCTCATTCTATCTTGAGTATTAGTGTTGGATAAGTGTCACACTTACTTTATGCAATCCCTCCTCTTCATCCTTTTTCCACTCTCTCTCCATCAGCCTGATATCTTCCATCACCCACCCTACAGCGTCAGAGGCCAGGACCCCAGAAAGCTACATTTCTGCTGAGAGTGAGGGAGAAAAGGGAGAGCGGAATGGGAAGAAAGTGTGTTTTAATGTGATGGGGGATGAACAGGAGGACTCTGGACATGACACAATCAGCAACAGAGACTCTTACAGGTAAAACCAAAGTGAAAGGTGGTTACACAAGTGGTAGTATAGACTCAAAAAGAGGCTTTATTGTCTAACTTTCATGTTAACAGCCCCAGTGGATCATTGTGAAGGCAAATGATATAAAAACTAGATTTCTAAAAAATATCTATAGGTGCTTCTATTAATATACGCCCACCTGAAAAAAAAGAAATTGATTGTGACATCACAAAAGGGGGGAGGGCCAAGCTAGGTCAAGTTAACAAGAGGTACAAAGCCTTGTAACGCCACATAAAAAATAAATTAGTGTTTCAGCTGTAAAAACAAGTCCAGACTATGTAACCAGGATTCTAATGGTAGCAGACTGAAATTCTGAAATATGCTTTATCAAATGGCACATTTTGCAAAATATGATGCTAATGCTATTAGCTATTATGTTAGTCACTATGAGCTTTTCAGCTGCGCTGTACAATGATAAATATTTAGCACATGTTGATTTTAAATCACTTTGATTCAAATTTGGAATGATAAGTATTGGACAACAAGACCTAAGATAGTTCATGTTTTTGTCAAGTATGAGAAACTGTTGCTGATGGTAGAAGTGATGCAACAGCTGCTTGTAGTGAAGGAGCCCCACCAGCTGTCAGCCTCACTCACTCCTGGCTTTGACATCATCAAACTGAACTGACATCATGAACTGCATTAACTGGCTGGGAACATAATCGCTAAAATGAATGCTGTACGGCGCAACCACATTTATTGATACAGAAGTGGTGCAGCAGCAGTGAAGTTCTGTTTCTTCAGCCGCACAAATGCACTCAGGCATGGAAGCTAGCTTCTGTTCTTGTTAGGGAAACTGGAATCCATGGATGGAGTTGGTACAACAAGCACAAAACAACAATTCACCACAGTGAAAAATGGTGAAATCAAATTAAAAGTAGCAAAACAAAAAACCAACTCATTAATTTGTGACTGCTCAAACTCATTGGCATTCGCTACCGCACACTGCACTGACCCCCTTTTGTGATGTACTGTAATGTTGTGTAATTGTGAAAAAGGATGATTTTTAAAAGGCCTACTTTGTCCTGAATTTCTGCCCTTATGTCTCATGTAGTATTAAAAAAAGATTATTTATTTAAGAACACTAAGTAAAAAAGTTGGCCCTGCAAGTTGCACTTCAACATTATTGATCAAACACATTGGAAAAAGAACAATAGTGACTGAGATTAAATGAAAAGAATTCTACAATACACCAAAATTTAATAGCATAATAATACTTCTATTAAACTGCATGTTCTTTCTTTCATAAAAGAAATGAAACTGCTAAATTGTGCTGCTTATTACGGTACAATATATGCAATGCTGTATGATATACCAGAGTGTACCATCCCATATTTTGCTAACCAATTGCCAGAATATCATTTGTTGAAAAGTTAAACAGATGGGGGATATGGTCTCTTGAACAGTTGTCTCCTTGTTTCTTTTCAGTGACTGTAACAGCAACAGAAACTCAATTGCTTCCTTCACCAGCATCTGCAGCAGCCACTGTAGCTCCTATGTTCATAGTGATGAGATGGACTCAGGTACACAGATGCAGCACAGACATTCACTCTTTCACATAACAATAAAGTAACTTGATTTTGCTGATAGAATAATATAACTTCCGTATGAGTGGTATTTTCTGTATAAGATAAACATACAGCATGTGCCCATACTCAGCACACTGTGATCATGAATTGATAGAGAAGAAATAAAAATTCCCAGATGTGTCTTAATCCATAATACCAATCAGCCAGTGTTGCAAAACAGTTCCAGTGACAGGTGATGATATTTAATACAGTACATGTGAAGAATGCTGACAAGTTGTAACCATACCTTCTGCAGGAGATGAGATGCCCTCCAGTGTGTGGCTGTCCCATGATAAGCAGAAGAAACTTCACAGCTTCCTTGAGCATCTGTTTAGCCAGGTGAGCCAGCTAAACATGTGTACAGATGTGACTGTGACTTTCAGTGGGAAGCCTGAGATACTAGCTGTTTCATTATCTTAGATCTTTCAAAGCTGTTCTCATCCCTGGGCACTCTCTAAATTGGCTTCTTTCACAGATAAACATTCTTTGGAGTCTTACATATTTTGTTGATCTCCTAATACATTCAAACCTTTTGTTAATCTTGTTAAGGTGGAAGGCAAAATTGTCCTTGTATGATGGATTGCAAATGATGCTGATTTGATCAATCGTCTAAAAATGCACAACATCACCATTCATTATGAGTTTTAAACAAAACAATTATATTTCATGTGCAGTGCAATGTTTTTAAAGACCCAATTGTGTATTGAGAACAGGATGCGTAGTTTTTTAAACACATGCTCAGGCGGGGAGAATTATGGCATTCTTAAGATGGCCCTTGACCTTGTAGAGAACGTTGTGGCAAAGGTGGACCACATTTGATTACACTTGTACTGTACATTGTTTCTCTGACACACACATGCATACAGCATGTCTCAATCAGCAGTGGAAAAGCAGAAAGATCAACACTTCACTGTCTCTGAAGTTTTGACCTGCTTCCCCGTCATTTTATTGTAGAGCAGTTTCCCCAGCTTTGTTTACATACTGCATAACAAATTGTATTCGCTGGGGCTCTGTGGGATTGTGTGTATTTGTGTTAGTGAGAGAAGCAGGTGTTTTTTTTCCTAATTTGGGCAGCAGATATTTGCTGCCCTCCACATTCATTCGATCTCGGCTCAGTAAGAATTGTGTAAGTGCAGCAACTTGACCCTTGTGCTTTCTTCAGGTGGACTCAATCACCAGCATACTGAGAGGAGCAGCGGTGGCGCGGGCATTTGAGCAGACCAAATGTTTTACACCTGGACGAGCATTACAAGGTGAAACACCAGGCCTGTAAAACACTGGCTCTGGTCTCTCAGCACCTTTTACCACATCTGAAAACACTGCACATCTACTTGTCAAACCATTTGAGCAAGAAATGTAAAAGTTAGACTTTTAACATCAAAAATATTCTTTCTATTCTACTGCCTTACTCTCTACTGTAGTAGCATACTGTCTGTTTGCTGTGAGTGTAGCTCTGCTTCCTGGTTCACGCTGGGCTGAACATTAGGCTTGTGAAACGAAAGATATGTCCAATCTCAACCAGCACAGTGGTGAGAGAAAACAGCACATGTAAAAATGTGTAAGGGCTGCAACTTCTTGGTGTGTGTGTGCATGCGTGCACTCACATATGTGACTGGGTATGTACCGTAAGTGGATCCCAGCACCTAAAAGAAGATTACCAGCATTTCATTTTTCTTCTTCCCTCTCTCCTACTGTATCTATGTACTGCTTTCCCCTTCAGCTATCCCACTGCCCTTCTCTCTTTATGGTGTTGAAACAGCACTGCTTACTTTGATACTCGTTCCCACTTTGTGGTCATTGTAGTGCCAGTCAAAGAAAAACGTGACCCCTGAAACAGCTTTTGTGCCTGCATGTTATCTGATAATGTTGTTTTCACTGGGTGTTTTTTTGCCGCCTAACCTCCTTCTGACCTTGGTATTTAATCACAGTGTCTATTGTTACATTTTATCACTCACAGGAAAATGTAGGAAATGTTGCTGGAAGGGGCTAAATTTATCCTTATCATGTCCCACTACGTATACAAACTTGCCTGCAGTGCCTTTTCATGATCTGTCAAACTCTGGCCATATTGAAGATAAGCTACAAGTAAACTATGCTTATTTTCTTTCATCTTTTTATAAGTTGTGCAAGCCTGGACTCCTCAAACTGTGGTCTGGATTTGTACTATATAAAACTGTTGTACTACTGTATGTAAGCTGTTTAAGTTCAGATATGAAAAAGTCTGCTTATTTTACTTTCTTGAATGTGACTTTAATGAAGTGTAATGAGCTTTAAAAGCAAAATCATGGATGAATGAATTATTTTTGTATGTTTTGATAAGTAAAGCCTCCTAACATTCCAGCCCATTTGGCACACAGACTCCCCTCCCATTCCATGTTGTCCTCAAGTGAGTGCAGATATGCTTGAACTGAAAATAGGACTGCTTGTATTTTGTGCACGTGAGTGTGTTCTCGTTTGCATAAATGCCCTCAGGAGGGATGTGAAGCTGATCCATCTCAACTCCAGTCATGTGTGTGGTTGGTAACAGAGCAAACAGGATTATCTAACAAGTGTAGCATTCCTACATCTGATCTCACACTCTTTGGGCCTTCAGACAAACTCGCATATGCAAACACACACTCTAGGAAACCCCTTGACGCCTCTGCTAAACAGCCATCTCCCTGTCACAGATCTGTTCTTTGTCTCGAAAGTCAACATTATTATAGTCTGTTCTGTGCAGTTTTGAGAGGGGTTATTTCAGATTGGCGGGCTTTTATACTCATATTTTGCAATTGCAAACAGAAAGTGACAAAAAGATTAGGTTGCAGGGAGTCAAATCTGTGGTTTGTGGGATCTGCTATATAGAAGGAATGTTTCTCAATTCAGGTCTGTAATGCACATGCATTACTGAACTGAGATTCTCAAATGTTTCTATTTTATTTTGGAGATTGGGGAGAATGAAATACTGAATGAAATAAAGGAATCTGCCTGTAAGGTCAGTTATTGTATACTAACGCAAGAGAAAGACGAAAAGCAGTTTTTCATATACATCCACTTTCTGCTAAGCCTGTACTTACTCTTCATAT